TCAAGAAATTGAGCATTCCTATGGAAGTCCTAGGAGTGAAAGTGTGAAGAAGATAAACTATCATGATCCAAGTTTGAATGACTGAACACAATGATAGCGTCGTGTCGCGACGTTAAATGAGGCGCTTCTTGGGAGGCAACCCATGCAAGGTACGTTTACTTGTTTTATTTTATTTTTGCACATTTCAAAAAAAAATCTGGGGAGTGGACCTCGGCGGGTATCTTATTTCACCCGGACAGGCGTGTTCGTAAAAAGGCACCTGGAAATAAAACAATCGTCTGGGCAAATATTTTTTTGGCAAAACCCGGCCCCTGGAGTAAATTACCCGACCGGGTACCTTTAATACACCTGGCCGGGCATTTTTGACAAAAACTTTCTGGATAAGTGGGAGTTAGGCCCGACCGGGTACATTACCCCACCCGGCCGGGCGTCGGGAATGTTTCCACAAAAACCGAGATTGCATCCTCTTCTTCCTCATTTCATCTTCTTCAAACACGAACGAACTCCGCCAAAACACCATTTTCAAACCCCATACATTTGAATTTTCTCTATTTCTACACCAAATCCATAAAAAACTATTTTCTTCATCTCCTCTTCACTACTAAACCCCATACATTGACGCTATACACCCATAAAAACCTCCCAAATAACCAAAAATCCAAATCCCCTTACTCCACAAACAACAAAAGCTGAAATTTCATCAACCAAAAACAAAGTAAATGACACCAAAAAGGGCAAAGGGATTCATTCTATTGGACATATCTGACGCAAGCACTAGGGACAGTGCTTTGATTAGCTTGGGGGGAGAATTTCATGGAAAACTCACATTCATACTCTATATTCTTGTATTTGTTTTTCAAAAAAAAAAGCTTGTTAAGTTGAAAACCTGAAAAGGCAACTTAAGCAAAAATAAAGCAAAAATAAGAGTGAGTTGTGAGGATTAAAATAGAAAAATGTGGGAAGATGTGATGAAAACCAGAAAGGGTACCTAGGCAAAATGAGAGAATGAGAGAAAGTATTTTCTTTTATTTCTGCGGGATCCTAAGGGTTATGATGAAAAAAAAGTTGAGGTTGATAAGAAATATGGAGTTGAAGACCCCTCATTACTGTTACATTTTTGGGGATATTTTTTGTGTTGTTCTAAAAGCACACGTGGATGTTGGTGTTGATACTCTTGTCATTTTAAGGACTTCTTGGGCTGGATTTAATTTACTCGAGACGAGTAAAGGTTCAAGTGCGAGGGTGTTTGATATGCACTAACTAGTAGTGCATAAATGTATCTTTTTATGTTTGATTTGTGTGGATTGTTTACCATTTTATTTAGTTTGTAAACATTTGTTTGATTTTAGTTGTAATTGTATTTTAGTTCTCGTTTTTAAGTTGTAAAGTAGAGTTAGGATTTATGGTGTTGGAAAGGAAGAATTTGAAGTGAAGAAAAATTATTATTGGCTGCCCAGGACAATCACCCGATCGGGTGGGGTATTGCACCTGGTCGGGTGAGACAATGAAAAGCGAAGGTGGCTGGAAACTACAATCACCCGGTCGGGTGAGGTATTGCACCCGGTCGGGCCTGATTTGACCTGGTACATTTTAACGTGCCGAAGATCACCAGAACGTGGAGGATATCTGATTTTGACCGGATCCGGTCGGGTAAGCACTTGACCCGGTCGGTTACGCGGCCCAAGGTGTTGAAAAACACCTATAAATAGCACACTTTTTCTTCACAAATAATCATCCCTTCTTCCATACTCTTAAGCTCAATTTAGAATAGCATTTCTTTATATTTTTCTAGGGATAAAGCTCAAACTGGACACTATGGTTTCACGAGAATCTCATATTGGACACTAAGGTTTTAAATCGACCAAATTGGACATTATGGTTACATATGTATCTCATATTGGACACTGAGATTTCATAATTTATAGTTTTTGGACACTCACTTATGATTCTCTTCTTCCTTTAATAAAAATTGTTAGTCTTACATTTGCTTTCCTTTTTGGTGAAAGTAAACCAATTTAATTACGTGTATAATTTTGGAATATTTGATTTGAAGTTTTAGAATATATCATTTGATTTTAATTAATAATTTCTTATATTAACAATTTAAAAATATATTTAGGACTTTTCATTCATATGATTTTTATGGAACTTTAAGAAATATCGATTTGTTAAATTGATTTAAAAATATTAAAGAATTCAATTACATTATAATAGATTTTATTAATCGGAGCATCTAATTATATATTCTAAATCTAAATACACAAATTAAGTTATTTTTATTTTTTAGGTACATAAAACCAAGAGAAAAAGGAATACTTATATCTTTCAAGGTGAAAATCTTCGATGGGTGTCCCAAAATGATCATAAAAACGTAAAATTTGATCAACTTCAAACTTTAGTGTCCGGTATGATACACAAAAGTAACCATAGTGTCCAATTTGATCCATTTGAAACCTTAGTGTCCAATATGAGATTTTCATACAACCATAGTGTCCAATTTGACCATTTTCCCTATTTTTCTAGTTGTGTTTAGTCTCCCAATGAGGAGCTAAACTTTTCCATCTTGGTTTTGTTACTTTGAAGCTTAATGAATTGTAAGTTGTGAGTTATTTTCTTTAATCTTCTTCCTTGAATATTAATTTAATCTAGCTCTATATAAATGTTGGGGAGTGTTGCTAAGATGACAATTAGTTAACATCTCGACATTAATTATAGTATTATTTACTTTCTTTAATCTTCTTCCTTGAATATTAATTAATTCCTGTTCATATTTCATATTAATATTTTGAACATTACTTAAAGGATCAACTAGTTTTGTTTAATATATTAATTATTACTAGAATCAATCGGTTAATACGCTTGTTATTAATTCGGTTCTTTCAACGATAGTAAACTTGGATTATTAATGAATGTGTCTGATGGTTAATAATTTAGGGGGAATTAATTATATTGATTAAACCAATAAACCGCGTGTGTTGAGGTTATTAACCTCAATCGTTTTCATCTTAAGTTTATTGCTACTATTGGGTTAATATACGACGCGTGTTCTATATTGACTCGGTAGTAAGTTTTATTAATGAACGCATCTCTTTATTAATAACTACCCTCGATGAAATGGAGATACTCCTCGATTGAGTATTCGAGAGAAAGCTAGTTAAAGATATAACCGAGATCGACGAACATTTCATTAAGTGGATAAAAGCAAAACCAAGTCATCATCCCTATTAATTAAACTCATATAAGTCATTCATCTTAGTGTTAATTACATTAAATCAAATCAAACTCAAAATCCCCCCTTTGTATTATTTAATTAAAAGAAAGATATTATTTTCTCTCTGAATATGAACTCTACTACGCTATACTACGTATAAGTGTTAGTATTGAATTTATTTTGACACACCGTGACAAAGTGCTCGTCATGTACCGTGCACACGGTACATCCGACCTTTTTTTACGCTTCTGCGCTTCTCGCTCTAGCACCGGACATCTTTGATCTTCATTCACACAGGACTTCGCACTTGCTTCTTCAATCTCGCTTGACCTTTTTCATCTGATCTCACACCATGCAGACTTCTCCATTTCGCCGCTCTCTTCTCCTCAAGCACGATCACCCTCCTGAAAACCCTCCTACTGCGCCAGAGACGGCAACTCCTGAGGAGTTCTTTGTTGGCTAGTGCTGCGAGAAGAAGAATACAGAGTAGACAGATTGAGTGATGATTTAGGAGACTGAGTAACTGAGTTCATTCTTCTTTGTTGACGAAACTGGAATGAGTTTATGTTAAGCTCAAATTAGTATAAGCTTAAAGGGAATGAACATACACAAATGAATATTGAGCATATTAGAAATGAGTTTTAATGTAAACTCAAATGAGTATAAAGCCCAAAATGAATGAACATACACAAATAAGCTTTTGAATTTTTGGATACTCATTTTGTAAGTTATGTACGCTCATTTTAAAATGTTGCACATTTCATACGTATCATACTACATTATGTTAAACTCAAATGAGTATAAAACCCAAAATGAATGAGCATACACAAATGAACTTTTGAATTTTTTGATACTCATTTTATAAGTTATGTATGCTTATTTGGTACCTCTTTATGATCATTTTAAAATGTTGCACATTTCAAATATATCATACTATATATTAGATTTACATATTAAAATTAATTGGAAATGATTACATACATAATTTAAGAGTTTTTATAAACGAAAAAATAATAAAAAGAAAGCGAATTAGAAATATGAAGCAGAGAACGTTGATGCTCATTTTAGGCTCACAATACTCAAAAGAACAGGTCCGATGATCAACAAAATTGCGTTAATGCTCATTCAAGAGAAGCCATACTTTTCAACAAAATTACAAAAATGCCACCGACTGTATGGTTGGCACCGTACAACCGGTTGTATATTATACACTTCCACCGAACTTGCCCTAGTTAATTTTGAGTTGCAAGGTTACCTTATTTACTATTCCGTTCTTCAATGTAAGGAATATAAAGAACAATGACATGTTAATTAAGTTAATTTGTGCACGCTTGTAAACTACACATTCTTCTTACCAATTCCTTAGATTTTTATAACATTAACCTACCATGTATCCATGTTTTGAATAAAAATGACTTTTAATAAAAATGAACATAAATATAATAGGATTTAAAGATTTAAACAAACAATTATCATGTGCATTTTAATGTATATAAAACTACACTATTATATGGCACTGTCAAAGTTTCAAATACACGTTTTTTTATACTCCATTCGGTCCTAAATAAAGTTCAGTGTTTGACTTCACACAAATTAAGGAAATAAAATTGACTTTACTTTAGAGTACACTGTTGTGACATTGTTTGGCACTGTTTGACACTATTTTGTACTGTTTTGATGTAGATGATTTGGCAAATAAGGAAGAGAAAAGAAGTGTGAACTTTATTTTGGATCGGCTCAAAAATGAAATAAACCTTCTCTCCCTTGCCCCCCCCCCTCCCCTCCCTGTCAGTCCGCTTCTTTCTCTGGTTTTAGGTCTCCACAATCAAACTTAAAATGGTTGGAAGGCGGTGACAATGAAAGGATCTCATCTTTGTAAAAGCTCTCTCCCATTAATGGGTACGAATTCGGAAGTCCTGCGAGTCCAATTCATTCTCACCCTCTTAGCGGGCCTCTTCATCTATCTTGGCCACAAGCCCACAAGAGACGGGTCCGCATGGAAGTGCCGGCCATGACTTAGGCCCAGTCAAGGGTTGGCATATGGAGGCTGGGGCGACCAAGCTCACTTTAGTGGAGGAGTTGGAGATGGAGGTCGCATAGGAGGTGGCGGATGTGGAGGCAGCTCAGGAAGCCAAGGGGGCGAAAATGCAGAACCAAGAAAGAAAGAGAAATGCAGAACGGGGAACAAGATCTGGTCTAGGAGAGAAGAAAGAAAGAAAGAAAGAAGAAAAAGTAAGAAAAAAAGAAGGACAAAAACGGAAGAAACGAAGAATTACAAAAAGAAAAGGGAAAAGAAAAACAAAACTAAAAAACAGTAAAAATAATGCTAGCTGAACATTCACGTAGACCGGAAAATCAGATGATAACATGGGAAATAAGAACAATGTGTTTTTTTCTCGAAATAGGAGTAATTACCGACATGTTATGACAGTATCAGATTTTAAGCATAACAATATTTTTCAAACTTAGTACTCCCTCCGTCCCGGTCATTTCTTCCAGTTTTCCTTTTTGGATCGTCCCAATTAATTTTTCCAACTTTCCTAAAAAGGAATTCAACTCATACTAAAAACCCTATTTTACCCTCCCCAATAAAAAAACCCTTTCCCACTCCCCTTCCCTTTTACCCGTCCGCATCCATCTCTCTTTCTCATTTACTCCCACCCGCATCCCTCTCTCCCATTTACTCACACCGCCTCCTCTTTCTCTGTCACTGCATCCGTCTCTCTCAATTACTCCAATCGTCTCTCCCATTTACTTCCTCCGTCTCCCCCTTTGTAAATCTATCTACCCTTCCGCCTCCCCCTCTCTCACATTTTTATAGATCTAAACCCTAATACTGTGAGTATGGAGAATATTGAACACTTCATAGTCCCTGACAGTGAAAAGGTTGTTCTTCCGGAGGAAGCGGTAGCGTTGGACACAGATGACCCTGTATTGGTACTCCATCCGAGGTGCATGGTTCAGAACTCCCCGGCAGAGGATGCCCTCCTCATCATCTCGGACAGTGAAGAAGAGCTTCCCGAGGATGTAAACGAGAAGCCTGCAGAGGTCGTGGGGGAGACGGTGGACCCAAATCGGTTTAAAAGACGCAGAGACATTGACATGCATCCTATTCGGAGAAGTCCCCGACTGGAGGAGTTCCTAAAAATAATTTTGCCAAAATGGGAAACAATGATGTGGGACGTGGACACAGATCAGGGGAGTTTCTTCTACACCTTATCTTCATTTATGGTTTAATTCGTACTCTATGTCCATTGTGTGTAATTTGGGGGAAGCAATGATGAAAAATTGTCTTTTTTATGTTTATTGTGATGCATGTGAGTTGTACATGGTGGTTTGGTATTATAAATGATAGTTAGGCATACTGTGATGAAAGTATACCTTGTGTGTACTGGTCCTTTATGCATACTGACATGAAACTGTCCCTTTGCATACTGTGATGAAACTAGACCTTATGTGATGGTTCTTTATGCATACTGTGATGAAAGTAGACCTTGTGTGTACTGGTTCTTTATGCATACTGTGATGAAAGTAGACCTTATGCGTACTGGTTCGTTATGCATATTGTGATGAAAGTAGACCTTGTGTGTACTGGTTCTTTACTGCTATGATTGGTTCATTCTGAGTGGTATGCTATGATGAAAGAATTAGGCTGTGATATGGTACTCTATGCATGCTATGATGACCATATGATAGTGTTTGGGTGGTTAATGCATACTGTGATGACCATGACCCTCATATGTGGTATTTTATGCATACTATGATGAGCATATGAAAGTATTTTGGTATTTTAAGCATACTGTGATGACCATGATCCTGTGATGTGGTACTTTATGCATACTATGATGACCATGATCAGTACTTGTGTGTGGTGTGTATGCTGATGTTGTAGTTATTCATAAGGTCTGAGTGTGCTGTTCTTGTCCCAAAATGATGAAATCATTATGACCATTGCTAGATCACTATGCTTCTACTATTACAAAATGTCTGATTATGCTTGTACTTATACAAAAGGTCTGAGTATGCAGCATGTATTACAAAATGTCTGAGCATGTTAGTACTAATTCTAAATGTCTGTCTGTCCTGCAAATTAAGGCCTGTACAAAAACAAAAAATTTAAGGCCTATTATGTGTGAGCATGTACTTCATCACTGAAGATGATGATGATCATCATCTTCTTCTTCAATTATGAAGTTCCCCTGACTTTCAGTATCCCCTGTTTGTTGCCCTAGAATCTGTTCTGTTGCTTCCAATAATTGAACATCTACCTCAATTGTTTTTGGAAGTATCCCTTCTGACTGCATCCTATCCCTTGCATTGTGTGGTAGCTTGTAATTGTTGCCTCCCTGCACTTTTAGAACTTCAATCATAACATACTGATAGCTTAGCCAAACTTTGTTTAGAGTCATAGGTGATTGTTGTTTGAAAGCATCATCCACTGCATGTAACAGTTCATCCACTGTCTTGGGTGCATTCTGGTCTTTCAAATATTGTATTGCCCTAAAAAACCCTAGGTCTAGGATGTTAAGGTCCGGAGAATTGGGGGGCTGATTAGTAAGGGTGATTGTAAACCCATCAGCCATGGAAGCACTCATATACTCTGCATCATCATGTGAAATGTGTGGCCTTGCATTGTCTTGTTGTATTATGATTTCTTTGCTTAACTGTGGAGGCCATTTTTCCTTGATTGCTGGGAGGACTGTGTTGATTAACACGTCCTTGAACACTTTCTTTGTTATGCTAAGAATAGACTTGGTTTCCATAACACCTGCATTTCTGTTTTTGCTTCTTCTTTTTGCTGCAACCTATTCAACAAATGGAAACATGCCTATTTTTCCATCCCAAATGACCTCACCACTTTCTGAAAAAAGGGGTCTACCCACTGCACCTAGGGGCATGACCTTAGTTATGAACCTCTTTGATTTGCATACTCTGTGTGGATCAGCCTCTTCCAACCCCATGTATAATCTTTGAGATGTTTTTGTCATGAAAACCCATTTTTCATCAATTTGAATCACATTCTGAAATGTTTGAAAGGTAGGTTTCTGTGGCACTGACTTCTCTATCTGACTAAGACAGAACTTCAATCTTTGCAATTTATTTGCATCACTTAGAAATGGCTTTATTGCATTTGTATGCCTTCTGATGTTACCACTTTGAACCAATCTGTGGACACTTGACTTTGATATTGAGGTGGCAGCTGCCAAGGACCTTATGGTAGTCCTTTTATGCAGTGGGATCTGTGATACTTGAGATAGATCAAATTCTATCCTTTTTCTGCCATGGTACTTCCTACACACATTTACTGCATCACCTTGTACAACTTGCTTTTTGTCCCAAATGCCAGAAATAGTTCTTCTGGACACTTCATACTCTTCAGCAAGTATGACAAAAATACCTTTCTGAGCTTTCAAGTACCCCAAAGAATCCCTCCCACTGGACATTAAGAGTACATGTGTTATGCGTTCTTTTTCACTGTTCGAAAGCCTTTTTTCCCCATTGTAGCACCATGACCATCCGTTGTTACTATTTGCAGGTGTAGGGGTCCTGGTGTGGAAGAAGCTGGAGAAAATGAAGAAGAAGCTGCAGTTGTGGAAGATATTGCAGCCATGGAAGTTGCCTTTTTTTGTTTTCGGTGTGCGTGTGTGTGTAGTGTCTGTAAGTATGCGTGTGTGTGGAGTGTGTGATGGAAGTGTGCGTGTGTGTATGTAGGGAATTAGGAGGGAGTGATATATTTAAGGAACTAATCTCCCTCCTTTTTTGGATTGCCGCCTCTATGTATGCAACTTTTAGACAATTGTGAATAGTCTTTACTATTCACATGTCAATCAATCTACTTTTAATCATTTTCCCACTTTATTAAAGTTTTTATCTCAAATTTTACCCATTCATTTACCCCATTCGGCCAAGGGTATAAGGGGAAAGTCAACCCCTTTATAATTTTGCATAAATTTGCGATACCGGTCAAAACCGGAAGAAATGACGAGGACGGATGGAGTACTACGTAGTATATATTTCTTTTTAGAGAATAAAAACATGAGAATCCCATTTTGGAATTGAAAAACATTTTTCTTTCATATTCCGGGAATTTGTTCCTTTATAATAATATCCTCCGTTCCAAATTAGATGCAACATAGCTCAATGACACGCAAATTAAGAAAGAGCCATAAAGTAATTTGTTTCCTATTATACCCTTCTGCACACGTACTGCTACTTATGTTTTACAGGTTATGACGGGAGCAACAAACGCCATGAAAAGAAAGAAGAAATTGGAGAAAAGAAATCTCCAACACAGGCCACAACACTGAGCTTGAAACTCCTTGAAGACCTGGAAAACACATAAGACGAGAAGGCTAATGCGTAATCGATGAAACCTCCAGGTAGTCGGAGATGCCCTCAGTTGTCGGCGCAGTCGGGCAGCAGGTGTCGCTGGAGAAAGCAGAGGACCCACTCTTGTCAGGTGCTACCTTCGTTGCTGGAGACTCTTTAGGTTGTTGCTACTGGTCGTGAGCGAAGCTTTCAGACAGCCATTAATGGTCGTGATCTTGGCCTAGGCTCTCCTTCAAAATTGTTTTTGTTGGATTTTCTGTGAATGGGGTTAATTTTTGGATTAAAAAAATGAAGGATGAAGAATTAGTAACACTACAATGGGAGATGGAAGAATTGGGAATGAGGAAGAATGGGTGGGCAGATGGGTGAAAAGGTAAGGTCGATGGATTTTGTGGAGCAGATGGTTCAAGTACAGAGAAATACTACGTACTTTATTGGATTTAAGGGTAATATAGTCGTATGTTTATTTATTATTACTAAAAAAAGGTAATGTTGCAATTAAGTTACCACTTTTCTTTTTGGATAGTCCCTAAATTAAGTTCACATTTCCTTACTTTCCTTATTTGGCAAATTATCTACATCAAAACAGTGTCAAACAGTGTCAAACGGTGTCAAACAGTGTTTGAACATTGCAAAACAGTGCACTCCACAGTAAAGTCAAATTTATTTTCATAATATGTGTGAAGTCAAACTGAGAACTTAATTGGGGGACGGATGAAGTATATCGTTGGGGTAATATGTTAGAAAGAATCGCAATAAATAAATAAATAATTTACGGTTGCGGTTGAAAATATGGTCATTCTTAGGGGTATACTAAATGGACCCAATTTTAGGTAATGGTGTTGTTTGGTATTCGGCGAGTGGGGTGGAACCGCCGTTTTTTAATACGGGAAACGCTGATAAATCCAGCGTTGTAGGTGGAATCATCCGATAAACAACCATCCCCAATGACAAAACACAACTAAAATAAAAGGACACTCAATTTGGTAAGAAAATGAAAAAAGATTAATAATGTAGAACTAAATTGATACTCCCTCCGTCCCGCAATGAACTTCACAGTTTGACCTACACACATATTAAGGAAATAAACTTACCATGTGGTAAATTTTACTGTTTTGACACTGTTTCAACATTGTTTTGCACTGTTTTGCAATGTTTCGACACTGTTTGATACTATTTTGCACTGTTTGACATTGTTTTGATGTAGATTAACTTGACATTTAAGGAAATGAGAACTTGTTTTGGGACATCCAAAAAAGGAAAATGGGAAGTTCATTGCGGGACGGAGGGAGTATAACTCAAGAGTTAACTTCTATTTTTTGTTTTAGCTCTTCTTGTTCCCCTCCAAACCTCCTTAAATTATATTTATATTAAAGATAAAATATTCAATCACAATTTATCAAAAAGAAAAATAAGTTATAAATAATATATACTCCCTCCGTTCCTATTATAACTTCCAACTTTCCTTTTCCGTTCGTTCCAATTAAAACTTCCATTTTCCCTTTTTGGTAAAGAATTTGTGGTTCACAACATTTCTCACTCTTCTGCACAACTCTCCACCACACAATACTCATTATCTTAAATTGTGTGCCAAACCAATTTAGAAGTTATAATAGGAACGGAGGTAGTATATTAAGATTGTGCCGTTTTACAAAACGAAGCACGATGAATCTTGTAATGAAAAAACAAGTTTTTAAGAACATAAATCTCAGTAAAATATATATTTAATCTTATTACTGTAACAAAGTTAGTTTTAATTTCACTTTTTTTGAAAGAAATTTTAATTTCATTTAAAACTCAGATCATGGAAGAGGACAAACAAATCGACGGAGGTAATTATAGAAATGTATTTATAGTTTATGCACTTGCTCCGTATATTTGACAGAAATAACCACAGAATAGAAAGAACACTCTTTATTGGTATGCAATTTCTATCTCGTTAAGAAAAGAGTTCCACTTGTTTCTCTGCAAATCCGCCTCTCTCTCTGGGCACCAAAGTGGTCTGCAATTTTCTGGCTTTCAAATCTCTTTCGCCATTTCCGGTCTACAGTTTTTCTTCCGTTTTCTCTCTCTCTCTACTACTCGGATCTTCTTCCATCTATATCTCGGAAATGGATAACCCATCCGAGGATTCCTCGGAGCAACCAAATCAACCAAAAACCGAATCAAATGGGAATGATGACCAGCAAGTCTACTTCGTTCCCTACAGGTTTCTCATTTCCATTTGCCTTCATATTCAGCTTCAGCATTCTAATAGCACTTCACTAATAGAAATATCGCAATAGATGATGAATGAATGTAAGGAGTGATGATTATGACACTGGAGAAATTGACAAGGGTGATCTTATATTTTTTATTTTAGTTTTTATATTCTATTTATTCCTCGTATGGTTTGGGATGGTTCTACCTATCTCTTGATTTTGAATTGATTTTTTATTTATTTATAAATTTTAGTAGTTTACGGAGTAATTGAATCGTGGTTGGCCAGGGTCACATATTTATTTTTATTTTTGTGTGCGCGCCTCCTTGAATTTGGAATTTCTTAGATCGCAATTTGATAAGGTTTTGGATTAACCTTATTCCTTACACGCACTTGCTCAGATTTCTAATGTTAATTTTCGAATAAGTATAAACAATGGAATACATTGTGCGTGCTTAGGATGTGTTTTATGTGCTCTGTTCCGTTGTAATTGATGACATCTATTGTGCATTGAGTTTGGTTTTCTTCATGGAGTCACATACACTAGGATGCCTTCAGCTTGAGCTGCTTGACAGTTTTGTGCATTGTAGGTGGTGGAAGGAGGCACAAGACTCAACATTAACTGATGGGAAAAAGGGGACTTTATACACAGCGGCACCTGCTCCGTCTTATGGGGGGCCGATGAAGTTAATTAACAATATTTTCAATTCAGATGTTTCTTTTAATTTAAAGAGAGGGGACGATTCTTCATCCCAAACTTGTGACAATGGAGAAGTTGGGATATCCGGCCGTGATTATGCCTTGGTCCCGGGTGGCATGTGGATTCAGGCGCTCAAGTGGTTGGTATCTTAAGTCGCCTGTTTTTAAACCTTTGAAATGAATCTTTTGTTATCATATTTCTTCTTTATGCATTGGAATCTTTCTGCTGTTGCTAGATAGATTTTGCATCCTATGCCCATCGTTTCTTCTGTCTCAACAAACACTCCTCAGTCCTCTCTCCTCCTGTTCCTAACCTAGAATCAGACCCATAGTGTTGTTTGGAAACTCGAACCATTACTCCTAAGATCCCAATAACTGAATAGGAAGTAAGGAAGTTGACACAACCTCTAAAATAATTCGTGTTTCTTTCTTTAAAGGAGCTTGTATGTTTCATACAGAAAACCAGTCATCCAGATCTCTTAAATAATTGTCTTAGGAAGTTGTGATTTTGTCACTGTAATTGGGAACTTAGTAACTTACTTAACACTTGCAGTTAAGTTTTATTTGCTGAACCACATTCTCACAAGTTATATTTGATAGCGTGATTAATTATCTGCTTTTGAAATAGTTTTTTAACCTAGTTTTAAGTGTGGCTAGAAATTTAATCAAAACTGCTAAATTTTCAATATTTAGAAAAGTCTTAATTCTAAAATTGGCTCCAAGGATTGTCTCTTTGTAGTAATTAGGCCATGTATATTCTATTTCAATTTTGTTTTTGGCTGGTAAGAGTTTTTTGTTATTGTCGGAGATATCTGCACTTGCAAGTTTTGAGGTATTTATTTAATTATTTTATACTAAGTCACTATATTTTTTGGCCACTGTGCCATACCATTCTGATCTGTATGTAGGCACAGTGACTCTAAAACTTCAGAAAAGAACGGCAAATGTTTTTCAGCCACAGATGATATGACAGATGTGTGTCCCTTACTGTTGAGACTTGCTTGTTTGCAAGATGGCAGCTCTTTGGGAGTTAAGATAAGCAAAAAGGTCGCCACTAACTTTTGTGCATTTACTCAATTAACGGCTCCAATGCGTTATGCACTTGTATAGAGTTGGAGTCTACAAATGATATAATCTATCCATATGCTTCTTTCTTGTCTCAGTTCAGTTCTCTATTGTACTTCTAATAATTTTCTTTAGATACATAACATTGCTTCCTAGTATTGCTGTATATGAGTTTATAACGAATAATTAATTGTTTGATCATTATTAGAAAACCAGCCACATATAGACCGGAAAACTACTTGGTCACACCATATATTTATTTCCAAGATAAATTATAATAGTTTCCACAATGCCCCCCCCGTCTTGGAATTTATTCATCTCAGTGATATTAAAAAAACGCATTGAGCTTTGCGTCTCATATCTTGTTTAACATTTATAACTTTCATGCTCTACTTCATCTAGCATTTAAATTGGTACTCATGCTAGTTAGAATCAAGACAATCAACCCAAATGAAAAAGGATATGCACAAAAAGAATCATGAATCTTTTAGTGGACATCAGTATTCGATTGGAAGTTTCAAGAATAAGACACATACATGATATATTTGTATAATTATTGTAATGATAGTGATTTTTAAAATACAACATATGAACTACTATGCTCCACGTGTGCATCATAAATTAATTGGACTTGGTAATGCAGCTCGCAAAGGGGAGAGTTGGCACACCGATTATGGTGTTGCTGTGTGATTGAGAGGTCACGAGTTCATGTTTTGTGAGTGGCCTCTTGTCACAATGACAAGGGAAGGCTTGCTCCTTATACACCCTTGTGGTGGGACCCTTCCTAGGCCCTCTCTTTGAGAGGGGCGCTGATGTGCACTGGGCTGCCCTTTTTAATGCAGCTGGCATACCTTAAATTAGTTGACATGCACCTCTCTATTATATGATCTACTTTTACAACTTCCTTACTTAAATGGCTTTCTTTCTATATTTTCATTTTTCATTTCATTTTTAGGACAATGCAGCCGAGTCTTATAAAAGAGCCTGTAAAATTTTCGTCTTCGAGACAGATCCAGTAAGTGAACGTATGAGTTTCCATTTCTTGACATCATATCCTAGTTTTTATTTTGATGGGGGTTTTCTTCCTTATCAGCTGCGGATATGGGACTTTTCCGGGCAGACTGCTTTGTTTTTCACAAATGGCAAAGACCCAAAGGACTCACCAAGACTGTTGGAGCAAGATGTGTGTGGTTATTTTTATGCAATTTCCAGAACTGCTCATTAGTATGCTTATATGTTGTTGATCTTTAATTCCTGAATGCAAGAAATTGCACTGTCACTCTTAAATCTTTTTCACTTAACTGTATGTGCTTAAGTGAATATCATGTATCCTTTTTATTTTATCATTTTTATGTATATTCATCTCTTTTTATATTATCTTTTTATCATAGCTTATCTTTTTTATCTTTATTTTCTTTCTTTTCCTTTTGGTGGTGATATCATGTATCGATTCATGTTAGCCAACCCCAATATCTTTTTGGGACTAAGGCTTGGATGTTGTTTTGTATGTGCTTAAGTATTTACTTTGTTAATAAATAAATATGTATGAAGAGCCCTATATCACGACATGCATTCGTGCACATTAGGTCTATTCCTTTTTATATTTTCATGTCATCTACAATGGTAGTTACTTAGATTCTCTCTTTTTGCTATTTCTCCTTTGAGTGGGTTTATTTTTTGATCGTGGCTAGATCTAAGAATATGGGCCTGCTTTATCCCTAAACTAATTTCTATATGATGCTCTTTTGGGTTTGACGAGGGAGCTAATTAAGTTCCTTGAGTGTGATGTTTTCTATTTCACTCTTGTTATAATATTCAGTATATAATCTAGGTGTGTGTCTTATGTTTTAATATTTGTATCTTAGCAGATGCTCCTAGAGTTGCAAGTCTATGGCTTATCTGACTCTGTCAGAAACCGAGCAAAGAAAAATGAAATGGGTACACAGTATTCTAGCGGAACTTCATATCTGATGAATGGTAGTACCAGCAGTTTCACATCTAGTCTCATACGAAGCCCATGCGAAACTGGAATATTGGGCTTGACTGGATTGCAAAACCTAGGGAACACCTGTTTCATGAACAGTGCTCTCCAATGTCTTGCACACACACCAAAGCTTGTTGATTACTTTCTTGGCGATTATAAAGCAGAAATAAATTTCGACAACCCATTGGGTATGAATGTATGTGGCAACCTGTTTTATTCAATGCCTTGTTTTTTAAAATGTATCATGATTTGCTATCTTTCTGTCCCAACACACTTGTTAATTCCCCCTCATAGAAACCATCTGCATCAGCCAATTTTTAATCGCTGTGCAATGTTCAACTCTACTGATCACTATACAGGGCGAGATTGCATCAGCATTTGGAGATCTTCTGAAGCAATTATGGGCTCCTGGAGCAACTCCTGTGTCACCAAGAACATTCAAGCTAAAACTTTCTCATTTCGCTCCTCAGTTTAGTGGTTTTAGCCAACACGATTCTCAGGTTAGTGTTAGAGATGGTTTAGTTTTCATGCATGTATGTTATACCTCAATGTCTGCATGTGTTTGGAGAATTGTAACTAAGTATTTATCATACATGTAGAGGTCTAGAGGTTAAGACTATTATTTTCTCCACAGGAGCTCCTTGCTTTCCTGTTGGATGGACTTCATGAAGATTTGAACCGTGTAAAGTGCAAACCATATGTTGAAGCTAAAGATGGAGACGGTCGTCCAGATGAAGAAGTAGCTGATGAATATTGGAAGAATCACCGGGCTCGTAATGATTCCATAATTGTTGATGTATGCCAGGTGAGAACATGCAAACTGGTTTCTTTGTATCTTTTTTGCTGGGCACGTACCAAACTATGTAATTTCATGTAAAACTGTTCTTTACCAACTTAAGGGACTGTGAATCCAAAATTTGTTTTCAAAATATCATGAATATTTTCTGCAGGGTCAATATCGCTCGAAATTAGTCTGTCCTGATTGCTCTAAGGTCTCCATCACTTTCGATCCATTCATGTATTTATCACTACCTCTACCATCGACGTCAATGCGGTCCATGACTATATCCATTATGAAAGGTGATGGCGATATCCATCCATCTGCTGTTACAGTTAATGTCCCCAAGGATGGGAAATATTCTGACCTTATTCACAGTTTGAGCACTGCATGCTCCTTAGGGGCTGATGAGACATTTTTGGTAGCTGAGGTATTATACTATGCCATTCCGTCACATATATTCACCTTCTTGAGTTTTTTTCTTGTTTTGATTTTCATAGTTTATGCTATTTCAAACTCTTAGAGTTTCTAGTATCAACAGGTTTACAACAGTCGTATTTTGCGCTTTCTTGGGGAGTCATCATCTGATTCATTATCCTTGATCAGAGATGGTGATCGGCTTGTTGCTTATCGTATGCTGAAGAGCAGCGGAGAAGCCCCCTTGGTTGTGTTTATTCATCAACAGACTGAGGAGTAAGCACTAACTTGCCTCTTGATACACTATGTTTTTTTGTATACCAGTATGTCTCTGTATGTTTGTGTTCATGTTTGTGCTTTGCCCTGGTTAGTTCTTTGATCATATTTCAATAAATGTGAGTTCTGCTATTTTGTTCTTATCCAGGAAGGAAAATTTCTTTTTCTATAAGTGTCTTCTAGTTGATGTTTGCTAAAATGTTTGACCAAACCACATTAGAAGATATGGGGCCCTTATGTTGGAGTCTTTGATTAGGCTTTGATTTGGTTGGTGAATTGGTTTATAATTAGATTTTGCTCTCTCTGGGTACACTTGCTAAATTCAAAGCTGCCTGCAAATAGATGCACTTTTTATTAGTGAGCCAAAGCTGCCTCAGGACGTTAATACTCTTCATGAGATGTATAAGGGTTGAAATTATGCAGAAAAGTTGAACAAGGCAAAAATTTCCTTCAAAAGTTGAAAAGAAACTATGAAGATACGACTCCTCGGTGACAGGAGCCCAGTGAGGTGGGATATATGAGTTGCGAGAAATAAGGTTAGCCTGGTTAGGTAACCGTTTAAGTGACTTATGCCATCAGATACTAGTTGTTCAAGCTTTAGTCCTCTCTAACAGTGATAAGGACTAGTGAATAGTAGTGAGAGAAGAGGCATAAGGAAAATGGAACGGCAGTACGCTTCATGGAGCAGCTACGCGGGGAAGGCAATCCCCCCCCTCTAGATCAACAGAGAAGTGGAGGACAGGCCCCTGTTAAGGAAAAACCATCCTTCTGTTAGTGACTTGGCTTAAGTTCTTTAAGTCCTGCCAGATAGAATGCGCCTTTCTCAAAGCCATCCTTTTATCTCAAAGTAAAAGAGAGAGCATCTAGCGGTCTTACGAATCAATCAAACCAAAAATAAGTGTTTGTACTATTCCCTAACAGGGTAAAATGTCCTTAGATACCAACATCTCTGCCCATCTACCAGGAAACATGTGTGCTTATATTAACATTCAGATAACCTTATTGTTCTAGCTTGCAGGAGCCTTTTTCATGGGTTCATATAGACCTGCTTTTCAATTTCACCTTTTCATCTTTCACGCTGCTCACCTCTTGCTTCTATTTTGATGCACCATGAAGGAGCATGATGACTTAGTGGCATAATGCAGTAAGTTGAGATGGAAAATACCACGAGCTCACAGCCAACAAAAATAATTAAGGTTGTAAAGAGAAGTTACTAATTGCAAGTATGTAGAGAAAAAGAACCTTTTGAGATTTTGATGTTGCTTCTTCTCTTGTTTAGTGTCAAGCTTTAAGGATGATATCATTCTAAATGTTTTGAATTTTATAGTTTATTCCATTACAGGCAATCTTGAAAAACAAACATATTTTTCAGCCAGATATGAGTTCCTATTAATGTATATGCCCTTATTTGCAAACTCATGCTTGTATATGCTATGTGCTGCATTGTATTCTCCTTGTTATGGGGAATCTATGCAAATCTTTTTTAGTTTTAAAAGGTTGAAGTCTTTCATATATGATATTGGCTTAGTAATTTAATTTTCTTTGCATTGCTCAGACATTATTATTCTGGTAAGCGCACATCAAGTTGGAAGCCATTTGGTATTCCATTTGTTGTAACTTGTAATGTTGAAAACGGATTCGACCTCCGCAGCCTGTATCTAAAATTACTTCTTCCTAACAAAGTTGTCAATGAAGACGTTGCTGGGAAAAGTGATACAGTTGAAATTGGTTCTGCTGAAGTAATTACTGAAATGGAAGTCAGCAGTCCGCCTAGAGTAGTAGGTTTTTCAGGTAATTCTGATGATGAGACAATTGATGCAAATCTGGACAGCGATTTTATGTTTCTTTTAACTGATGATAGAGCAATGATCAGCAAGTCTGTGCTTGTTATGGACGAGCCCCTAACTTTCACAGAGTTGCCTCGACGGGTTAATGTGCTGGTGCGTTGGCCAGATCAAATGCTTGACCGGTACAATACAGGTGCTTTTGACTCATTACCAGAAATTTTTAAGCCCACTTTTTTCACAAGAAGACCACAAGAGTCTATCTCTCTCTATAAATGCCTTGAGGCATTTTTGAAGGAAGAGCCTCTAGGACCAGAAGACATGTGGTAAGCATCTATGTTTTTAACTTTTGAAATTGTTCTTTCAAGTATTTTCCTAGCATGTTACAACTAGTGTTATTGCACTTGAAATGATAGATATATTCTTGAATTGATACACCTTTCTTCTTTATCTATTATTACCTAATAAGTAATACCTATTTTAGAGTATGTTTCTGCTAAAACTTGGCACCTCCAAAGCACAATATTAGCACTTTCATTGTAAGTTGTAAACCTCAAATCTGAACTTGTACATAGATTACTATGCAACTAAGTTAATTTTTTTCGCACTAAGAACCCTAAGGTTTTCTTAATTTCGTTTTTTTTTGTGTGATTGAAATGCTGTGATTGCTGTCTTCTGCCATCTATGTATTTGATGAAGTCAGTTCAATCTGATTTTTACAATTGCACTTCTAAATCAGCGTTCTGCATTTGCTCAAAATATTTTAGATAGTATATAATCAGCCAGATCAATCAAGATCCCATTGCACTAGATTTGACCATTAAACCATCATGGCAGTTGAGTAATAACAATATTGGTACAGATGTTTACCATAATGACAAGCCTTTCCTAGTTTGCATAACTGCATTCATTTACGTGCTTACTACTGGCTTATACAGACGTTCTGATATTATCTTCACATTGTAAGGCATTTATGTTATTCAGTTGAAATATCCTATAAAATCTTCTTACTATGTTTTATGTTTTTATTGCATAAGGTACTGTCCTGTGTGCAAAGAGCACCGCCAAGCTACTAAGAAGTTGGATCTTTGGAGGTTGCCAGAGATTCTGGTCATTCATATGAAGAGATTCTCGTTTAACCGTTTTCTCAAGAATAAGTTAGAGACATTTGTTGATTTCCCCATCCATGATCTTGAATTGTCTTCATATATTGCCAACAAAGGGGGGCAATCTTCTTTTCGCTATATGCTTTATGCAATTAGCAATCATTATGGAAGCATGGGAGGTGGACACTACACTGCATTTGTTCGTGTAAGCTATTACTTCGTATAAACTTGGAATGCAATAGTTATTATAATGTGACCACTTCTCCCCACAGCTGAAAGGATTATATGAATTTTTCCAACATAATGATAGGTGGGTAATAAGTGGATTAGGCCAATATTGAACTCAATTACACCTTCTGAATAATTTTGGTAATTTTTTCATTTATTTATGCTGACTCGAGCAATTTAACTTAATGTTTTTCACAACTTAGATACATGATGTTTTTACATGGACTGAAATTTTCTGGTCTGGTGTGGTAGATGTCTTGTCTCTATGTGTTTTATAACTGCATAAATTTGGTCTGATCTGTTAAAGTCTGGTCTGATCTGGTCACGGATTGAAATAACTCCAAGTAAAAACATCCAAACACCCAGATGAAAGATGAAATGTTGTAGAAAGAGATGATGATGTGTGAGATGAAATGAATAGAAATATTTTGATTTAATACGATGAAATGGTCATTGAAAATTTAAAATGAAAAAAAGAATGAAGTGTATAATAATGAAAAGATATGTTATTGAAAAGATGTAGGGTAAAAAAAGAAAGAAAAGGTGCAGGTTTAATAAGAAAAGACTAAATATAGATTAAAAGTAAAGCTACAAAAATTAGCTTTTGTTTTCATATCGGAGTGAGTACCTCTTATCTTTTATGTAGTACTGCGTATCTTTTTTTTTTTCATTTTTTTTGCATCTACCAACTACCAAACAAACAGAGAGTTATCATCTAGCTAGAAATGGCTTTGAAACATACACTAATAGTTCATTTCTAGTGGCCTTAGATAATGATATTAATGTTTGACTTTCGTTTTTGTTGTAGCAAGGGGGTGATCAATGGTATGACTTTGACGACAGCTATGTCTCACCCATCAATGCGGACAAGATAAAAACATCAGCTGCTTATGTTCTTTTCTATAGAAGAGTACAAGAAAAAGCCTTTTAGAAGGGAGTGATGAACAAAACTATATATCCACTAGGTGGTAGGGTCTTGTAGAGAAGAATCCACATTACTGCTGTTGCTGTTGCTTCGTGGCACATAACTAGCAATTTTGGGGCCATTACAGAATTTTCACTTTTTAGGATGCTGATCAAGGATAACTTAAAAGGGCCAAGTAGGGAAAGATTATTAATCGAGGGCAGCGCAAAAGAGGTTCACATAAAACGCCAGCGTCTTACATATATACCATTTTTATTTATTTATAGAGGAGGTAGTTTCAAATAAGGAGGTTGCTTGCTTCATTACCAGCTAACAGAATAGAGGGGGTAGTTTCAAATAGATTCGTTAATGCAGCTGTAAAATAGTATTATCTGAAATAATTTATAGTAATTTCATTTTAATTATTATATTTCTCTTAGATTTTAGGTTTCTCCTCCTTATTGTAGAGTCTCCACAGAGTGCATGGTTGAAGTGTTCCTGGGAAACCGTGGTGACTGTTTTTGTACTTTGCCTTCATATTTTTTTGCATGATTGTCTAGTGTTAAACAGAGTAATTACCAAGTAAAAATTTCGTTTTGTTGACCCAACTAGTTGGGGTGCGTTTGGTTCAAGCCTTCAAGGAATGTCAGATTACCGTGAGAATCTCAGATTGCTGGGTACGTTAGATTGATTGTAATGTATTCACTTTATTCACATTTGTGTTTGGTTAAGGTTGAGGGAACGTGATATTAATTTATTTGGTTAAAAGATATCTTATATTATAGATATGGTGGATTACCTCAATGCCCTTTAAATAATATCTCTTAACACAATAAATCTATTGATTTTTTTTAAGTAGGTTTAATCGTAACTCGTAAGAGGTTGTAGATCCAAATCATCCAATACAAAATTGAAAAAAACTCTGTTCAAATAGCAATCTAAATATATTTATTATCACTTCAAAAAAATTAAATTTAAAAAATGTTCAAGTTATTCGTAAAACTTGTTTTCAAATTAAAGAAAAAATGATCAATTTTCTCATTAAATTTTGAAATCCACTCATTAAAAACTTAAATAATCTATAAGCATAAATACCTTGAAAAATTTAAATGTTAAGGAAAAAAGAATTATGAAAATAACAAGAATAGACATTCGAATGTAATTAAATGAATATACTCCATGCATCTCACTTAAAAGTTTGTCACACAATCTACAAATTCGACTGACTATAAAATTATGAAATAATAACAAATATATAATTGAAACGAAGGTAATGGACACAAATACGACAATATGACTTAGTGACTATTATAGTAACTTTATTGACCATGATTGTGTGCAATTTTACATCATAGTGACTATGCATATTAACCGTAGTTATATTTTTATCCAAAACTTATATTTTAGTAATATTTAAGGAAAACCCCCTAAAATTAATTGATCACTGTCAATAATAAGATTATTTTTAGTAAATAAAAGATACACATTTAGAAACTACATTAAAACTTTTATAAAATCACAAAAATTCAAATTTGATAAAAGTTGAATACATAGAGAAATTAAATGAAAAGTGATAATTAATTAAGGGTATTTTTGGAAGAAAATTAGATCATCCCCGGGAATGTCAGATAACCTAAGGCATGGAAGGGTATAAAATCCCCCCCCCCCCCCCCATATTACATTCCCGGGAATGTAACTTTCCCGATCTTTTCTCAAAACCGTGAATCAAACATGGGTATCTAACATTCCAGGCATCACTTTCCGGCCTCAATGTGAGATAACCCCAAACCAAACATACCCTTGGGGTTAAGGTGAACATATGAGTGCATGTTTGGTGACTCTCTTTTTTGGCTCATCAAGCTTATCAATCAACTTTTTTACCAAACACGCTAACTTTATTCTGCGGGTTGAGCTGTGTAATAATAAGAAAAAGTATGCTTGAAGTTACTTTTCTAGTTGTATTGGTTGAAATTACTGTAGAAGACTATTTTATCTATTTTTTCATTTAATTTTTTCTTTATTTTATTAATAAAATATATTTTATATATAATTTTTTCATAATTCAACAAGATCAACCATTCTAGGCACTTCAGTCAGAACTTCCTAAATTTCAGCAGAGGACTAATGAATGTTTGTTATAAAGTTTTTTTAAAAAAGAAATGAGGAAAATTTTGTGACTATCATAAAATGGAAACTGAGAAGTAGCATGGGCATATGCCAATACGGGATGGAGGGAGTACTTGACTTTGCAATTTGCATCATGAGTGGGGTGTAAAGTACCAATTTTTTGTTAGATTTTGTGCCACAAGTTTATTGTAGGTTTTAAGTAAATAAAATATGAGGTGAAACGTTAAATATTAGAGATGAACATGGGATGTAAATACCAAAATGTGCATTGAAAATAACATTATATTTGGAGCAATGATAGTTGAAAATTTTGTGGTTGGGCTGTGCATGCCTTCAACATTTGCACCAATATAGAAATACCAATTTAGTTGGCAAACTTAGCTATTCACATATTGGTTCCGATTTGAAATTCTGCTACTCCATGCGACCATTTTATCTAACAATGACAACTCAATAACTTATGAGCATGAGACATCATATTCTTAACTAACAAATCCACACATCAAAATAATTTGGCCACAGTTCATACTCGAACTAGTCACAAGCTTTCGGCATAACTAAAATTTTGGGTAACTTTGGCATTACTTTGAAAAATATGAGGTTAAACTGAAAAACAATTCAAACCGGTCAATTTTGACAAACGTGCAAAGTGGAATTAGAATTTCACGAGTCATGACATATGGAAGAATGCAATACCTTAATTTCATAACTAAAATATCATTGCATGAGCATAAGCCATAAGGTATGCTTGGGAGGAGATGATTGACAAGGGTTTATGACCCTTCTTTTCATGTTCGGGAGTTAAAAAATATGGAGGGGATGGTTTTGGAGAGCTTTTGTAACATTCCAAAATTCTTCAAATGCTCAATTTTCAAGTTCTCCCAAATTGAGGGATTTTGAAGGATAACTAATTTCTTTAATCGTCAAAACGGATGACTTAAATTAATATCACAACATTCAGATAGAGGGTAAAAAAGACAAAAGGATCACATACAACCGCCAACTCTCGAACCAGGCTTAGAGTCAATCACCTCCAAAAAACCAATATAACTCGCTCATCCTATAATGGGCATAAATGAACCAGATTTATATACTACATAGTATTTTTTTTTAGTGTGGACATGGGCCCTCCCTGGCCCTAAGGTAGATCCGCCCCTGCCTCTAGCCCCTGATCTCAACCATGAATGACATCCTCGAAACTCTTCACCTGCTGTTAAGGGTAGGGGTGGGCAAACGGGTATTGGAACCGCGGTCCGGTCCGGGTAATGGCGGTTCGGGTCCAAAACAGGCCGGTATCAAATTTTTATACTATAAAACGACCTGGGTAGGGTCGGGTATCAATTTTTTCTGGTCCAGGCCGGTTCCAAAATATGAAAATGTCGGGTACCCGGCCCGGCCCGTTATATATGTAATTTTTATTTTCTAAGTGTTTGGACAGCTGAAAGTCTGGCAAGTTAGCCCGTTAGGCAGTGAGCCCATTAGCCTTTAGCCGGCTCTACGCCTCTACCAATTCAGATTTCGGCCTTCCCTGTCTCTCAACACTCAACGGACTACAGAATACAGATATCACAAGCAACGGAGCGCATGAGGATTGGAGCGATAACCTAGGCTCCGGTCGGCCTACCCCATCTCTGGTTCAGCAGCTTCAGCACATCTCTGGTTTGCAATAGAGTTCCTCCACTGCGGGATTGAGAGCGAAGGTAAGGGGCAGAACATCATCTTTCACCTTATCGGTCCTTCATCTTCGGGATCTTGTTTCTTTCTCGACCATTGCTCACTCTATAGAGTAAGGTAATCCTCTTCCATCTCTGGCTCTATAAACTCTATAAAATATGGAATATGAAACTAGAGTTTATAACATTATCTATTAGATACTCAATTACTCATTCCAATTTCGAATTTGCAATTGATTCTTTATTTAGTATGTTTTAGATTTCTGGGTTCTCCATGGAATGCATCATTTATGTTTAATTTTTTTATTTTATTGCACTGTTATTACTTATCAGGCAGCTTGGTATTATTTTTAAAACTTTTGAAGCAAAAGCTGTGCGGCTTAACAGTGTGAGTTTAAAAAGACACAACAATGTCAATTTGAGCCCAAGTAAGCCAACCACAAACAAGAATTTTGCTTATTTATTACGGAGTATATTTTGCTTTAAAGGAGAAACTAGATAAGGCTACTCAAGGAAGCCCACAAGTATGATGCAACACTAGATAAGGAGGTAGATTTGGTAATCCATTTGCTGTATTACCGGTTTTATAAGGGATCGTTAAGTCATTGATTATTGAGCTATATTCTGCTTCCTCGGTTGTCTAGAACCAAAAAAAAAGTTTTTGAATCATCAAAACCAATATATGTGTATAGAGAAAAGTAAACATAAACACCAAAGTTTTTATTACCATCTTAAGCTCAGGTGCTGTTTGTTATAGGTTGAAAGGTTTTCACCATTCCATAGCACTGCAGACTGCATAGCTTATCCATTTTTTCAACAGACAAATATGAACTGATTGGTTGAAACTGATGTGTCCCGAGAATTCTATTACTTTAATTGGTCCTTACTGTTATGGTCCTATCTTTTTAATTGGTTGAAACCGATAGTTTTATGAAATGACCAAAACAGTATGTGAAGATTTTATTACTTTAAAGAATACTTGGATTTCAGATTGTCATTTTAATATTTTATCTTTTATATATGAACTTGTCACTTGTGTTAGATGTGAACCAGTATGTTGTTATTTGGAAACTTGTCAATGTACTATATTATTGATTATTGATTTTTTGAACTTCATAAGTTTTAGTGTTTTACTACTTTTAAGACATGGAAATAGGAACCGAAAAACCCGGACCGGACCGACCCATTTCAAACGGGCTAGGTAAAGTTCGGTTCCTATTTTGAAAATTGCAATACCCGGACCGGACCGTATAATGGAACCGGCGGTTCCATTTTATTTTGCATTACCCGCCCCGACCGGCTCGTGCCAGCCCTAGTTAAGGGTACACAACTTTGAAAAATATGAGGTTAAGCTGAGAATGAATTCAAACAGGCTGATTTTGAGAAACGTGCATAAGGGAATTAGAATTTCATGACATATTGAAGACTGCAATACCTTAATCTCATAATAACTTAAATGTCATTGCACACTGGGCATAAGGTGTGTTTAAATTTGGTGGGCAATGGGATACGCTTAAGTCTCTTGAGTAGTTTTAACTTCTCAATCAAAGGGAGACATAGTGAAAGATATCATATTTTACATGTACAATAATTCGATCATACTCCCTCCATCTCATTTTGGTTGTATTACTTTCTTTTTTGGATTGTCTCATAATGAATGTCATGTTTTCTTTTTGGTAAGAAATATGTGGTTCATATTATTTCAATTTATTCTACTCAAATTTCAATCACAACTTTTACTTTTCAAACACTTTATTAATAATCGCGTCAAACTAAAACAAGACATCCAATATGGGACGAAAGTAATAGAAATCACGTATCTCTCTTTTATATGCACACATTTAGTAAGTTCTTTTGTTTTATAATTTTAATAGTTAATATAAATACTTTTCACCAAATGTTTGACCCTATTATGGTTCAATGATACATCAACATATAGTTAAGAGACTGTTTTCACTTTCATTGAAGTGAAGTCACATTCAAACTAGCCCACATTCATCTTGGAAGTTGAGGTGCACCATCTACTCACTTTTCCGTGTTAAGAAATAGAAAAAGTGAAATATAAAGAATTAGTGAAAAGAATGGAAAAGTGAACCTAAATCACCGTATAGTTATACTTCGTATATCACAAAATACATTGGCAGTATAATTTTGATTTATAGGTCATATATGTTCTCTTGATTTCAGTGTCAAATAATGATGAACTTTGGTGAGCATATGGTCTCAAAGTGCGACAAAGTACAATTGTATATGCTTCAATATAGTGGAGAGTACTAATTACATTTCATGTCATATGACATACATATAACATAACAATGCATAAGGATATCATGAATAGGTAAATATTATTTAGAAAAATGCGGATCTATGAACTGATGTCATTTTTACTTTTAGCTCAAATTCGAGAAATTCAACATCATCTTAAAGATCCAATGCCCAAAAAGATTAAACTTCCGATTCACCTGAGTGACTCAATCTTCAACATCTTCAATGTGAGTGATGCTTATAAATATTTTCCCAAAATCTAGAAGATCAGATGTGGCAATTGATATAAAGAAATATTTAGAAGTGATAGGTTTTTAGAAACATGATCAGGGAAGATAGAATGTTAAGATCCGACAGAGAAAAATGACGAATGAAGAATAATCTTACTACTCATATGTTAACAAGCTCGTGCAATTTCTAATAATGAAAACTAGCAATATTAGAAAGAGAGAGAGGCAAGTATTGAATGCTAACAGAAATATCAGATTACTATCAAACCAACCGACTTAACAAACCAACCGAGACACTACTAAACAATATGATGTATACTTATTCTAATACAGGACTTTTAGTCTATTACAAGATGTATATCTAACATTCCCCCCTGAAAACTAGGGTGATTGGTTTGGAGGCTCAATCACACTAAGTTTTGTTTTTAAGTCAATAAATCTTGAGCTGGAAAGTGGTTTGGTTAGAACATCAGCTATCTGGTGAAGAGAGGGAATGTGATAGACTGCAAGTTGTTTTAGAAGAACTTTCTCTCTGACAAAAAAGGTCAATCTCCACGTGTTTGATCTTGGAATGCAACACAGGGTCGTGAGCTAGCTGAACTGTACTTAAGTTGTCACTGGGAATAGAAAATGGAATTTGGAGCTCTTTTAAGAGAAACTGAATCCAAAGGAGTTCTGCTGCAGTGTCTGCAAGACTCTTGTACTCTGCTTCTGTTGAGGATCTTGCAACACGAAGCTACTTCCTTGACCACCATGAAACAACATTTGTTCCAAGAAGTATACATGAACCTAATGTGGATTTTCTGTCATTTGGATCAGATGCCCAGTCAGCATCACAATAAGCTGATATGGGAAGAGGCATTGTAGATAAGGAAATAGGTTTGATAACAATTCCATGATTAATAGTGCCAGAGAGGTATCTGAGAATGTGTTTCACTACCTGCCAGTGCTCCTTCAGTGGTTCAACCATAAATTGACAAACTTTGTTGACAACATAGCAAATATCAGGTCTGGTCAAGGTTGCATACTGCAACACTCCAACAATAGATCTATAATGGGAAGGATTAGGAAGATAGTCATTGCCTTGCTTCAGAAGCTTGCAGGTGCTCACCATAGGTGTTTTGACCCCTTTAGAGTATAACATTCCAGCTTGATGTAAGATATCCCTGATGTATTTAGCTTGAGAGAGATGAAGACTGCCATCAGGAAGTTTGCATGCCTCTATGCCAAGAAAGAAATTAAGATCTCCCAGATGTTTGAGTGAAAAAGAAGAGTGAAGTTTGTGAATCAATTGTATGATGGTAGTAGGATTGTTTCCAATGACTAAGATATCATCAACATAGATAAGAATGTAGATTTGAACTCCAGAAGATAGAAAAATGAGTAAAGAGGGATCAAATTTGCTTTGTTTGAAGCCAGCATGGTAGAGAACTGAAGTAAGTTTGTGAAACCAAGCTCGAGGAGCCTGTTTAAGGCCATATAATGACTTATGAAGTTTACAGACTAGAGATGTGTCCTCAACTTGGAACCCTGGGGGCTGAACCATGTAAACTTCCTCATCTAATTCACCATTTAAGAATACACTGTTTACATCAAGTTGTTGTATGGACCAGTTGTGAGAAATAACAAGTGTTAGAAGAATTCTGATAGTAACAGGCTTCACCACATGAGAAAATGTTTCCCCAAAATCAAAACCATACCTCTGATGAAAACCTTTAACTACTAATCTAGCTTTGTATTTGTTGAGAGAACCATCAGGATTTTCTTTGACCCTGTAAACCCACTTGCAACCAATAGCCTCTTATATGGAGGAAGAGAAACAAGAGACCATGTTCGGTTAGCAATCAAAGCATTATATTCACACTGCATGACTTTTAGCCAATGAGGAGAAGAGATGACCTGTTTAACTGATTTAGGCTTAGTACGAGTTAACAGTAAGGTAGGATGAAGTATGGGTTTTACCATTCCTGACTTAGCCCTTGTCCTCATAGGATGTGTGTTAGTCAAAGGAACTGGAGAAACTGGAGTAATAGGAGGAGAAAATTGGTGATTAGAATCAGGAGGAGGTTCAAGATTTTGTAAAGTGGGAGATGGGGAAGCAGATGATTCATGAGAATCAGATGAACTGTGATCATTAGAAGGTGATGATTTATTGTCATTAGAATCATTTGGAGATGAATATTGAGAAGAAACTGACTGAGTGTTAGAAAGGTTGTTGGAAGTAGATGGGAAAGAATGAATACTTATAGGGACAGAAATAGGATTTGGACTGATAGGTAAAGTAGAGGTAGAAGGATTAGAAGAGAACAAAATAGGATCAGGAAACTTTGACTCTTGAAAGACAACATCCCTAGAGATGTAGATCTTACCAGAAGAGGACAAACATTTATAGCCTTTGTGACTAGGTGAGTAACCTAGAAAAACACACTCCTCAGAATGGAAATCAAGTTTATGTTTATGATATGGTCTGGTGAAAGGAAAGCATGCACACTCAAACACTTTGAGGAAAGAGTAATCTGGAATAGAATTATACAGTTTGAAATATGGACTTGAATTAGAGATGGATTTTGAAGGAAGTTTGTTGATGAGATGAACAGAGGTAGCAAAGGCTGCATCCCAAAATTTAAGAGGTAAAGAAGTGTGAGATAAAAGGGATAGACCTTTTTCAACAATGGTGCGATGTTTCCTTTCCACTACTCCATTTTGATGGTGTGTATGTGGACAAATGACTCTGTGAATAATGCCTTTGTCTGTGAGTAATTTAGTGAAGGAACTAAACTCACCACCCCAATCAGATTGGAGAGATTTGATTGAAGCAGAAAATTGATTAAAAACATATTGAGAGAAGTTAGTAAATGCTGTAAGAACATTTGATTTTCTTTTAAGAAAATAGATCCATGTATATTTGGTACATGCATCTATGAAAGCTACTCCCTCCGTCCTGAAATAATTGTCCTGCTTTCCTTTTCGATCCGTCCCGAAATAATTGTCTCCTTTCCTTATTTGGTAAACAAATCTATACAAAACAGTGTCAAACAGTGCAAAATATTGCCAAACAGTGTCGCTACAGTGCCAAACAGTGTTGCTACAGTGCCAAACAGTGTCGCTACAGTGTGAAGTCAACTTCACTTTCTTAATCTGTGTGAAGGTCAAACTAGGACGATTATTTTGGGACGAAGGTAGTATATAATAGGAATACCCATCAAAAGAACAAATGGGAGTTGGTCCCCAAAGATCAGTGAAGATTAACTCAAAAGGTTTATGATATTCAGTGATGGAAGTATGAGAAGGTAACCTGTGAGCCTTGCCTATACAATAGGCAGAACAGAAATCGAGTGCATTTTTATTGATATAAGAGACTTTACAATGTTGAAGTACAAATTTGAGGGCCTCAAAATGAGGGTGGCCAAGCCTTAAGTGCCAAAGATTACAAGATTGAGGACTACAAGATTTATCATCATTACAAGTAGACACTAGACTTATTATTGTGTGTAGAAGACAAAGTGGATAAACTAGAACTTACAGAAGGCTGATGCAGACCAATGATAGGAAAGGACTTGAACCTATAAAGACCATCCTCTCCCAAAGTGCCATGTAAGAGAACTTTATTATAAACCTGTGATTCCACAAAACAATCATAAGGATAGAATTCAAAATAGACATTCTTGTCTTTAGCAATTTGACTAACACTAATGAGATTTTTAGTAATGGAAAAACATGAAGGATATTTTTGAGGGAGAGAGAAATAGAGGACTAATAAGGGGATGGAAAGGAAGTAAAACCAATCGACTTTATGTCCAAACCTTGACCATTCCCCATAAAGAGTTTATCAGTGGTGGTGGCAGGCACAGTGAGGTTAAATGGATCTGTAGTGACATGATGAGTGACTCCAAAGTCAGGGAACCATGTTTGAGACTGTGGAGGAGGTCCTAAAATGGATGTATTTGCAGTTTTGCACTGGCCCAAGCAGGATTATAAGAATGCTGAGATGGCTGATCCGAGTTAAACTGTGATGGAGCAGGGGAGAAGGAATAATTGGAAGGAGATCTTTGTGAAAAAGGATGATTAAACTGGGAGGGAGCTGAATATGGATGAGCTGAATAAGGTGGTCTTTGTGAAGAATTTGTTGCAGCATAAGAAGGATTGTAGCGATGATAACAAATGAGTGCATGATGACCTGATTTTCCACAAACTTGACATATGATAGAGTTTCGTCCTCCAGATCTACCACCTCTTCCTCTTGAAAAACCTCCACGACCTCTGCCTCTGTAAGAATTATCACTATTACCAATGTTGTTGAACTGAGCAACTTGAATCGAAACATTTTCAGTTATGTTTTCATCATTTGAACGAGTGTTTGGAGCTGAAATATCCAAACGAGCAACATTTGCAGACAGAAGATTCGACTGAAAAGATTCACGAAGTTTTTGTAGTCGCATCTCTTAGACAGACAAAAGAGACTCAACTTCAGACAAGGTTGGAGGATCGAGAATACTTCGAGAAGATATGGATGACGCCAGAGACTCATATTTTTCAGGTAAGCCTTCGAGAATCACATTAATGTGGTCCTTAGGGGATATCGGTTCTCCGATTGACAGAAGATTGTCAGCAATTGTCTGAATGCGAAGTAGATATTCAGCAATAGAACACTCACCTTTCGCAGTGTTGTACAGTTCGGATTTCAATTGTCTGGCTTTTGCGAGGATGCTTGATTGGAAGAAAGTATTGATCGCACTTCATAACTCGTATGAATGTTTGCAATGAATAACGCGAGCATGGAGTGCTTCAGATAGAGACGCTAGGAGCCACGAGAACAACATTTGATCTTGTTGCTCCCAGGCAACGTAAGCTTCGTTCATCGTTCCTGCTGCTTCACCTTCATCGGAGATAAATTGCTTTGGAATTTCTGGTTTGACAATGAACCGAAGAAGTTTGTGTGCTCGAACGACGGATTCTACATGGTGTTTCCAGAAGATGAAGTTGTCACTGTCAAGCTTGAGTGGAAGAGGATGTGCGAATGTTACTAGAGACGCAGAATTTGTGGAAGTTGCAGTAGCAGAGGAAGAGTTCAATTCGGCATCTGTGATCGCCATTGATGGATCGACCTAGAGCTCAAGCTCTGAAACCCTATTAGAAAGAGAGAGAGAGACAAGTATTGAATGCTAACAGAAATATCAGATTACTATCAACTGTATTAGAATACAAGTATTTATAGAGCTGGTTGTTCTAACTGACTTAACAAACCAACCGAGACACTACTAAACAGTATGATGTATACTTATTCTAATACAAGACTTTTAGTCTATTACAAGATGTATATCTAACAAGATATTTCCAAACAATTCATCATACTACCTGAGACGAGAATAATGAAGAATAATTTTTTTATAAATGGACACACAAGAGGTGTTTGGATTTACATCTTCAAACTATTTCTGCTCCTTGAAGGAGCAGAAACAAATATTAGATTGTTTGAGTGAAAGTGCTGAAGTACTTCTGGATGCTTTGAAATGCTCAAAGAAGCAATTTTTTAGAAGCTGGGAGGGACCAACTTGTGGAAACTAATTCTGATTCTATTTCTACTTTAAAAAAAGCACTAACAAAATGAATTAGAAACACTTCAACCATTTCTACTTATAATGTTTTTAGTTAGATGAGCTTCGATCTCAAACTATATCGGTCAACGAGATCAGAACAAAAGATCAAGGTCCAATTAGAAACATCCGGCTCACCCCAAACGGCTCTCATTTTGCCGGCTCGCCCAAACGGCTCTCATTTTGCCGGCTCGCCTTCTCTCTCAGACCCGCTTCTTGCCATCACTCCTCGTCTGCATGATCGCTCCTTGTCGGCTCACTGCCACGACGCCACTGCCCCTAGCCTCCTAGACAATGAAAGAATTCAGCCTGAGGTAAAAGCTAACCTCTCTTCATTACGTCTGCAATTCTGCAAATCTGCCTCCTGCTTGGGAATTGTGGCTTGCCGCTTGGCTACTTAATTCCTAGCATATTTCAATTTGTAACCTAATTGGCTAATTCCACTTTTCTTTTAGAAAGAATGATTTTTCATATCAACCATTTGTTTACTGTCTCAATTATACCAGTTGGTTATCATTTTATCAACCTGATTCCATTTTTCTCAATTTACTGCCTGAAATTGCTACTTTTTTTAAGGTGCCGTACTGCCTTATATATTAATTGATGCATACAAATACTAATTATTTGAGCAGATTTGAATCAATGGAAAGTCTTAATCAATGGATATTACGATTGAAATGTACAAGTTTTTCACGTACTAGGATTAAAATCTGTCTTACTATCTCATATATTATGTTTTACTTGTCAATGTACTAGTTTTTTATTGGAAAGGATACATCTATTGCATTAAACAAGACTATTGTGATAATTTAAACTTATTTAGTTTTGAACACCCAAAACATATGGCTAGATCTCCCACCGGGTGAAAGGCGATGATGAGACATTCAAAGCTTTCGTCTAGCAACAATAATAGAATCAGTTGGAGACCAACTCTTCTTCATCTGCTCCTTGCAGCGGCCATTTTCTCCATCCTTGTCTTCATCATTCAGTCCTCTATCTTCACAGGTTACCTTCTTTTTACTCTTCATATTTTCAAAGCCTTAATTTGTATTTTTGTATGAAGAAATTCACTCTAATTCACTCCATGGATCCAATTTTACTATTGTTTCTGTTGCAGGTCAGCACAGAGCTAATACCATCAACCCAGAGGATATTCGGATCTTATCTGATTTCCAGTCCAACCTTCAGCAATGCGTGGTTGGTCACAGATACTTTGAATAAAATCTTTTGAGAAAATGCCCTTTCAATAGAAACTTATTAGAGCTATTCTATTATTGTTTTTTTGGATTATCTTTCCACTTAGTAGACAATCATTGTTGAAGCCGTTTGTCTCAATAGGTTTGTATATTCATTGTTTCCTTTCCTTAAATTAGCATGACATAACATTTTGCTTGTTGTTAAGTTCTTTTTGGTGATTATATCTTTCATCATTGTTATTCTATTGAAATATCAATTTGGACTTCAGGTAGTGTGCTTCCATGCTGGAAATTTCCTTTAGTAGTTTTAACTTTTCAGTGCTTTGATTCTGCACCTGTTTTTTTATTGTTAGGCGAATCGAGGTCTGGGGCTTACACCTCAAATTATTGATCATTGTAATATAGTTCTCAAATTCCCTGAAGGAACTAACAGCACTTGGGTACTTCTCTAGCTGTGTTTTATTCATTTCTGCTAACATGTGATATCCCAAGTCCTAACAGCACCATTCATTACCTATCTCTCTCATAATACAATTTATTACTTACACAGTACAATGAGCAATTCAAGATATTTGAACCACTAGAGTACAAATATGATGTTTGCGAAGCTCTTCTGCTATGGGAACAGGTTCCTAGTCATTGTTTACCATTCGCCAAAAGAAACTATCTATTTGAAATGGAAATATATTAAATTAGGTCTTCTGAAATGTAGTATCGCAACATGACCACAGTGTTGACAAGAGAATATCTTGATGCAAGGCCTGATGGCTGGTTAGACTATGCAGCCAAAAGGATAGCACAGTTGTATGTTTCATGTCCATCTTTCTGCAATTCCTTCATAATTTTTCTTTGAACCACGTTGCGATGCTTATTCATCCATTCTTTTATTGCAGGGGGGCTGACAAATGCTACAACCGGACTCTTTGCGAGGAGCATCTCAATTTACTTTTACCTGCACAACCACCCTTTCACCCCAGGCAGTTTCGGACATGTGCTGTTGTTGGGAATTCGGGTGACCTCTTGAAAACAGAGTTTGGTCCAGAAATTGATAGTCATGATGCCGTTATAAGAGACAATGAGGCTCCTGTTAATGAGGTAGATTTGTTGGTTTTTGTTGTTTTCCTCTAATAACTAATAAGTATCAATAACATTCTTTCAAGGGAGCTAAAATCGTTATTCTTTATTCATTCTTTCATTCCTTGTTTGATGGTGGACTCTTACCTTGTAATGAGATATGATCCTCCTTCTTTCTCTATCCCAAGGCTGTTAAGAATATTTTGTAATATGACACTTCACACTTCCACTGTTTTGTATTAACTTGTTTAAGTCAGTTAGTATTTTACACTCACGTTGTCTTTATACTGAAGATATATGAAACAATGTTGTAGGACCCTAATTTTGTTTGTTTGTTTGCATAAATGTTGCAGAAATATGCCAAATATGTTGGTCTGAAGCGGGATTTTCGGTTGGTTGTGAGAGGTGCTGCTCGTAACATGATTACCATTCTTAATGGGTCAGGTAAGTTATTGTCAATTTAATTTACAATCAGTTGCCACTTCAGAATTTTCCTTTTATTCAAACTTGTAGTATGTTGCTGTCTATAATTTTGTTGCGCGATAGAAACAATAGTGCAGAATGATGGCTGAAAGCTTGAAACTTTCATATTATACCTAGTAAACATATAAATAATTGAAGGGTACCATATAATAACACCATTTAATACTGAAAGACATGTATAGTATTTTGTCAAGTGTTTACATTGTGAATTTATGATTGAAGAGGCCGCAGGTCAAAGTAACAGTACAGGTAAGATCACAACCAACCATTATTCTTCCAAGTCAGCCTCTCTAGTCTGTACTCCTAGATTAGACGTGATGTATTCATACATCTCACCCTCCCCAGACCAACTTATGGGACATACAGGGTATGCTGGTTTGGTTTAGTTATTGCTCTGAACCAGTTGGCTTTTAATTAAATAAAAAGTTTCAATAAAATTTTAGAATCAGATGAAATTGGACCAGGAATTTATGTTTCGTTCAACTTGTAATTTGAGTTTTAAGTCTCAAGAATCAACTAAAGAAAATACTACAAATTCTAGAAGAACAAGAAGAGAGCAGAAAAGGGTGGGTCCAAAGGTAAAGGGGCAAGCAGGGAGTAAGAAGGGGAGACTTACCACTATATTATGTGTGCGTGTGTGTGTGCATTTAAAGCTAAAGATACTCATTAAAAGAACTTAGGTGGTGTAACCTACTCACAGAGTCGCATGAAAAGAGAAAGACGTACATGAGCTGGGATTATGTGTACTTCTGATAATACCTTTAGCATTGTAAATTAGTTTATTAAATTCAACTTCCCATAAAAAGAATTTGGTGAAACTGTCATGAATGCATAGTCACAAAAATTTGGTCCGTAAACAATACAAACAGAACCAAAGTCATTGTATCTGAAATTCTGAACTGAATACTTGAACCCGTTAACTTAACCATGTACCAATAACCAATCTTCAAGTGATATGAAATGCGTGTAAACTATTTTGCATTTCAGTCTGGTAAAGTTTGATTCTTTACCTTTAGTGTACTTATTTTCTCAAGATGTGGTGTTCGGAGTTTCAAAATATTTGTTCTAATAACGTACTCTAATGGTTCTGAAATGTGGAGTAATCATGATTACATCCTAATCTAACGAGGCTTAGATTTTTATATATGCTTGGTAAGACTACATTATTAAGTGAACTATAGCAGAAATCTAGGCCATATTCTGTTTTTTGTTTTTGGCAGATGATGAAGTACTTATAATTAAAAGTGTTACACACAGAGACTTCAATGCAATGATAAAGGTATCGTTTTTACCCTGGATGCTCACTTTTCTTTATGTAATCCTTTATGTAAACATGTATGCCAATTTGATGCTACCCACCTTTCTGGCAGCAAATACCAAATCCAGTTTACCTCTTTCAAGGCATTGTCTTGCGCAGAGGTGCAAAAGGAACTGGAATGAAGTCAATAGAACTAGCGCTTTCCATGTGTGACATTGTTGACATGTATGGTTTTACAGTTGATCCTGGGTATACAGAATGGTAAGTTCTGGAACTATTCAGTGAAAGGAAAAAAGATTGATTGTTGTAGAAGAGAGCTTGTTGTTGATTGATTTTACTTGAAAGTTATATTAATATTTGTCCAAAAGGGCCCCATGTGTTACGGGTTATCTTGCTGAAATTGTTGAATCTCCTGAAACTTCTGAAGGTAAAATTGTTTACCAAATTCTATCTCAGCCAAAAAAGTCTAACCCCACATATTCTGCATGTCGATAAGCAGAGCACAGAAACCAAACAGGGCCTAGGTCTAACGCTTTGCATGCCAATCTTTATCATTTTGTGTTATATGAAATTGCAATTTTGCAATTGAAGTGTTAAGGTTTTCCGAAATTATTGAGGTCTTTGGTTTTGTATATGGCCTGTAAATGATACTCTGTTTTGCTGGCTAGGACTCGGTATTTCTCTACACCAAGGAAAGGGCACAATCCACTTCAAGGGAGGGCATACTACCAACTGTTGGAATGTCTTGGTGTAAGAAGCTGTTATTACGGGCTTCGTTTACTTGTTATCAAAGGTTCTGCTTTGATTGAGTTTTTTTATATTCTTTTTTCTCTTTGCATTTAAGGTTATACGGATTCACTCTCCCATGAGAGCACAAAGGAAACAAGACTGGTCCGATGTTCCTAGTAGGGTCACGATAAACCGTGCTCATAAAGCTGCTCTGCGGTTGAAAAGAAGTGCAGATGGTAAAGTGGGACAGTTTGTGAACTGTAAGGTATGGGGCAACGCAGGTCCATACGGGAGCGGACAGGTTTCAGGATCTTCAGATATGACGGATGTGAGGAAGAATTCAAAGTACAGTAAATGGGAAGTTTTGCCTTTCAAGAAACTGAGGGAAGAGGCAAGGAGTCATTTTTCCCAAATGGAACGTGTGTCTATGTACAAAATGGATGGTAACAAGTTGGATGATCTAGTTTGTGTAAGGCATGCCCAGGAATCTGACCAGAAGGGTGGAAGATGATGATTACATGGTAATGCTTGGCCACATCAGAAACTGTCAAGTTAGTTTTCCCTAGCAGCATGAACGGATAACACAGATCACTTCAATTTGTACCTACTAGTCTACTACTTAACAGAATGAGTCTTCTACATTCCTTCAGGCCACGAGATTCCACCTTTTGGAACATCTTGGCCTATCAGCGCTATATGTCAAAATTTTCCTCACATGTAACTTTTGATTCCGCGCTTTGTATTGTATAATAATCAAATAAATAAGGTTCACGTTACTTTTTTGGTTGAATTGATAGAAGTCATAGATGTCCATTTTAGCTATTTATCGTATTTTTTATTTTTTAATATATACGTAGTGTGTGTGTGTCTATATATATATATATATATATATAGGTTTTGGTTCAAATAAGAACACGATCTTATGAGAGAAATGAGAACGAATCTACACCGTTAGATTTGCTTCAAGTGAAATTCAGTGTGCATTAGATAAACTGTAATGTGCATTAGGTGAAATTGAAATGTGCATCACAAAGCTAAAGATGCAATAAAGTGGCATTATGTGCAGTTGAATTGTGCATTACGTGAAATTGAAATGTGCACTAGGTGAAGCTGAAATGTGCAGGATAAAAAGTCAATGTGATGTTATTTTTTGAACTTTTTTTTCGCACATCAGTTTCATCCAATGCACACTTGAGTTTAAATTTTTATTTTGCACATTTTCAATATCATTTAATGCACATTTCAGTTTCACCAAATGCACAATTTGGTTCCACATAATACAATACAACGGTCCAGATTCGATCTCATTTTTCTCCTAAGATTTGTTCTTACACGAACCGCTCCCTATATATATATATATATATATATATATATATATATATATATATATATATATATATATATATATATATATATATATATATATATATATATATATGGTTCAAATAAGAACATGATACACATTACATCTATAAATATGATCTATAATAGGTGAAATTGAAATGTGCAGAATAAACGGTACAAAAATAACATCACATCGTACCTTATATATATATCTCCGTGATCTTACATACATATACATATGTATATATGGTTCAAATAAGAACATGATCTTAGTAGATTCAACCATTTCTTTAGCTAGATTTTTATAAATATCAATAGACATAGTCGATTCTGTCAATTTCAATATTGCTAAATGGACTCACAGAGAAACTTTTTTTTAGTGTAAAGAACTGTAAACTAGATTGTATCTGTGTTGCACATGACCAAAAGTCAATTAGTAATTAATTGCAGCTTTATATGACCGGAGTATATACCTAATAGATGACGGATAATTAGACCCATTGGAAAACAAATTGCTAGATAAAAATTGAACAATGCATAATATGCAAGCATGCACGTAGTAGTATTGATTATTGTATAGGAGAGGTACAAGTGATAAAATAATTTATAAAGATATAACTCTATGAGATGTATAGTTAAAAAATACTCCGTACTTGGTAGGAAAAATTATTGAAGACATAACCCAAACTGAGCTATACCAATTCATCGGTACATTTATTTCCATAATCATAGTAATAACAACAACAATAATAATAATTATGATAATAATAATATGCTCATTATATGACTTGATTATAGAATGATGCGCATTATTATATGCTTGCTATTTTAAATTGTGCTCTAATATTGTTGATATGTGACACTAAAAGTTTTAAGGTCACTACGATATATTTTTAGAAAATAATCGCATGAATAGTTGTTCGATAAATTTTTCATTGAACATGCCCGCCTAGGAAACACAAGGGTTGTGGCTTGTGATTAATTAGTATAGTTCATAATATAATAATAACGTATGTAATGTTCTCAAACTCGATATGATATATCATTAACAATAATGCGAGATTAGTATTTTTGTCACTTGTAAAGCGTAATCAAGAAATCTCTAACCTCCATGATGAGTAAGATTATTATTAGTATTCTCATGCACAAACAATGTGTCATTTGTTTACTATTAATTTCATTTGGAAAACAGATTTAATTTTATGACATGTATATCACTTGGATAACCATAATATAATGTCTTGTTTATTAGAGGGTGGTGAATAGAGTTTCATCGCAATCCCAATGCTGTATAAATAAATAGAGATACAACTAAGAGCTCATATTTTATCCATCCTATGTGAAATTTCATATTTATATAAACTTACATACAATTAACCTTATTCTGTTCAACTAAGAAGGTTGTCTAGAATGTACATCTAAAGAGAGAATAATATATGAACTTGTACATGATATATCTATGGAAGGGATAAAGTTATCACACTTAGCTTGAAGAATGAATATTATTATGTACTTAGCTTGTACATATACACATATTCAATGATATTAATTATGATACCATTTGGTGCACTCTAATAATAGATAAAGTATGTTGGAATTCCAAATAAATTACTTACAGAATCGATACATAATTTCCATCTTACACACATGCATGAATACATATCAATATGACTACACACACATATATATTATACACTCATATATAAGTGATTTTTCAATAGGTACCCACAAAAATATTATCACAATTCACAAATGGATAACTTAATTTTAACCAAGTGACTCAACATCGACCCGTGATGATTATTTTTGAGCTCATTGAATGATGCATTAAAATATATGCATATTTATTTCTTAGTTACAAAAGGTACCTATTGAAACCCTCTTATATATGCTTGATTACTTTTAGGAACATATAATAATTTCTTAGCAGAGACCAATGGATTTCTGAAGCCCTTCCCCTCCCACTGAATGATCTAACTGGGCTTGCTTGTTATCCAGATTTAGCCCAAAATGGATGTGAGGGAAATGTGCCCACTGCAAATATATTAAAGCAGGAATTATAAGCGATGGAATATACACGAAATACACAAAGAGCACCTTGCATAATAGCATGTCAAGTTGCATAATAAATGAGGTTATGAGGGGGCAAGTGCCCCCTCGAGCAAATAAAATAGTACTACTACTTATAATATATTTAATGCGTTCCCTTCTTTTTTCAAAAATAAATACCAATTAAGGATAATTTAGATTAACTGTTAAAATAAAAGGCAAAGTCTTTCAAGAAAGATAAGTGTGTCTAGGAGTACAAATATTGGCTGCAACATATCACATTCATTTGAATGAAAGCAGGGCCGGTCCAGGGCATGTCTGCCCAGTCCAACCGTACAGGGCCCGGATTTTTGAAGCCCCCCCTCCCCCCCAAAAAAAAATTAGTATTAGACCTAGCACATCAGTCTTTAGCCCAACAATCGAATATCTACCTTCCCCAAAATCCCACGTGTTAAGTATGAAAGTGTGAATTATTTAGACATTCAATGACACACGGGTTGACTTCTCGTTGTTATAGTGAACAAGAAAGTATTTAGGGCTAAGGTATTACGCTTTTGTTATTTTTATCATATTTTGAGCAAATACATAACAATTCTTAGCTTTCAGTACGCCCCCCGTCATTCGAAAAATATGTGGCTCCGCAACTGTATTTACTCCAAGTTTATAATGAAATTGAGATTTTTTTCTTCCAAAAAATGCTACTTGTACATGTCGGTTTACACGCTCGTTTATACACCAAATGTATTTCATCTGTACACAAACAATTAATTTTCATTTTAATAAAGGGAACTTTTTGCGACCTCGAAACAAATGAATTGTATGTGCATAGACAATTTGGGGTCACAAACAGTACCCGTACGGATAGTTCAGTTGGTCGAGTGGTGGGAAAATTGGACCAAGTGACCAAGGTTCGAAACCCGCAGTGGCCGTGTGGAGATTAGAAACCTGAAATAAGGTTGGATCTCTGGTGCGCACGTGTATAAGGCCTACCGCCGCATTACTGACTGAGTCACCGTGATTAACCTTCCCACCATCCTGTCGGGTCGGAGTGGGGGGCTTGGACATTCAACCTTTTGGACCAAGGGGTCACAAACAGTTTTCGTTTTTACTAAAATGAACATCAATTGTCTATGTACAAATAAAATACATTTGGCGTGTAAATGAGCGTGTAAGCAGACATATACAAGTACTTACATAGCTTTTTTGTTTTTTATAGATCAATTCTTAAAAAATAATACCTTTGTTCCAAAATACTTAGCCAAATTCAAAAATTTGACCAATCATACATATATTTATTGGAAATTATTTACAGCGTATAATATCAAAATGATATGAAAATGTTCATTATGAAAAAATAGATTCATAAAAGTATAAAAGTTACTTATATAACTTTCATAATATTATACTAATCAAAATTATGATCCAAATTTTAAAGTTTGACTAAATATTTTGGAATATCATGTGGTGCAACTGTCAAAGCTGATGTTGATGTGACACTTTGGATCATGCAGTATATGGGGGTGGTGTGGGGGTTACATACATTTTTAGCAGCAGTGCTGAAAGCTTCCCGGTGGCTAATATCTGGGTTGCTTGCTTTTATCCTCTGGATCTCCTCCCTAATATCAACTCATCTGTCGTTATTCACATTTCCAAACAAATCGTTTCGAGAAACCGTACGTACAAAGTAAATCTGCCTTACTTTTCAAATGAAAAATGCAGCTAATTTGAACTACTTTAATCATACTATGATGGATCTAAGTGTCATGTCTGGGCATAGTTTCTCTAACTTAATTGTCAGAGACATTGAAACTAGCTCCTATCTACCATTCATGTGACACGACACTTCATAACTCAAAACCTAGCTCAGATTATCTACTCATTTAAAGCCCGTTTGATAATCATCATTTTCGATTTATCGGTCATCCTTTTCATCAAGCACATCACTTTTGATTTTTCGTGTCGAGTTGTGTAATAGTAAGAAAAAGTAACGTTAAAATTATTTTTCTGGATGTAGTGGCTGAAGTTACTGTACAAGATGATTTTAGCTATTTTTCAAATAACATTTTCTTTATTTTATTAATAACAATATTTTAAATATTTTTTTTTTCATAAATCAACAAAATCAACCAATCCAGCTACTTCAACCAGAACTTCATAAATTTCAGCAAAATCAGTCAATTCAGCCAATTTCAGTGTTACCAAACGGCCTCTTAATTATCGTTTTCCCCCATTAAAAAACACATTTGATATAAGTAGTTCAGATTCAATTTTAACCAAGATCTAACAACGCTAATTATTTGATAGAATAGTATGAGATTCAATTATGAATACAGATTATTTTAAGATTAGAGTTAATTAGTTAATGTATGGCTCTCCAAAGTGCAACATATTTGGCAATATGTATATGATGTTAATGGAGAATCCTGGGCAAGGCACTCCCAGACATGGCCACATGGGTGTTTTCTATAATTTGTGTTGGATTAATGGTCCAATAGGGATTGACTCATAAACCTTTAAAGGTCTACCCTACGAACGTCCTGAGAAGGCCCAAGACAACGGATTAGCCCCTAGCGAGGTTC